CAGCAGCACATGGATCCTTCTCTAAAAGAGACCATATCTATGTCACAAACCAACTCTTAGCAAATACAAAAAAAATAGAGATAGTATCCTGCATTTTATCAGATCATAATGGAATGAAATTAGAAATCAATGATAGAATTAAAAGTAGAAGCTACTCTAGCACCTGGGGACTAAATAATGATGAATGTATAGTAGAAGAAATCAGAGATGAAATAAAAAAAATACTTTGAGGTAAATGAGAATAGTGATACAACATATCAAAATCTCTGGGACACTCTGAAGGCAGTAGTAAGAGGAAAATTCATTGCATTGACCTCATTCATTAAAAGAATAGAAAGTCAATGAATAAATGACCTAACATTACATCTCAAAGCCCTAGAAAAAGAAGACCAGTGCCAAAACAGTAGAAGACAGGAAATAATTAAAATCAGAGCTAGAATCAATGAAATTAAAACAAAAGAAACAATTCTAAAAAGTGACCAAAAAAAGGTACTTAGCAAGAATAGTAAAGCAGGAGGCATCACAATACCAGATCTTAAATTATACTACAGAGCTATAGTAACAAACACATCATGGTACTGGCATCAAAACAGGCAAGAAGACCAATGGAACAGAATAGAAGACACAGAAATAAACCCACAAAATTATAGTTACCTTATACTAGACAAAGGTGCCAAAAACATACATTGGAGAAAAGATAGCTCTTTCAACAAATGGTTCTGGGAAAACTAGAAATTCATATGTATTAGAATGAAATTTAACCCCTCTCTCTCACCTTGCATAAATATCAACTCAAAGTAGATCAAAGACTTAGATTTAGACCACAAACACTGCACATACTTGAAGAAAATGTTGGCCCAAATCACCATCATTTCAGCTTAGGAACTGACTTTCTTAACAAGACTCCCAAAGCAGAAGGAGTAAAATCAATAATTAATAAATGGGATGGCATCAAACTAAAAGGAAAAAACCAAGAGTATGAAAAGAGAGCCTACAGAGTGGGAGAAAATCTTCTCCTCCTGCACCTCAGATAGGGTGTTTATTCCCAGGATATATAAAGAACTCAAAAAACTTAACACCAAAAAAAAAAAAAAAATCAATAAATAGGGCAAAGAAACTGAAAAGACACTTCTCAATAGAATAAATATGAATTGTTGACAAATATATGAAAAAATGTTCACCATTTCTAGCAATTAGAGAAATGCAAATTAAAACTACACTGAGGGGCTGAGGTTGTGGCTCAGCATTAGAGTGCTCACCTAGCATATGTGAAGGCCTGGGTTCGATACTTAGCACCACATAAAAATGAATAAATAAAATAAAGGTATTGTGTACAACTACAACTAAAAAAAATAAAAATAAAAATAAACTACACTGAAATTTCACCCAGTCTAGTCAGAAAGGCAATTATCAAGAATACCAGTAACAATATATGCTGGTGAGGATGTGGGGGAAAAGGTACACTCATACATTGCTGGTGAGACTGAAAATTGGTACAACCACTCTGGATAGAAGTATGGAGATTTCTCAGAAAACTTGGAATTGAAACACCATTTGACCCAGCTACCTACTTCTTGGCATTTATCCAAAGGATTTAAAATCAGCATAGTACAGTGATGTAGCAACATCAATGTTTATAGCAGCTCAATTCACAATAGCTAAACCATGTAGCCAACCTAGGTGTCCTTCACCAGATGAATGGATGAAGGAAATGTGGTTTATATATATAATGGAGTACTACTCAGCCATTAATAAGAATGACTTTATAAAATTTGCCAGTAAACGGATGGATCTGGAGACCATCATGCTAAATGAAATAAGTCAGTCCCCCAAAATCAAAGGTTGAATTTTTTTTCTGATATGTAGAAGCTAATCCACAATGGGGGGGGGGGATAGAAACTCATCAAAGGGGAATGAAGGGAAGAATGGGGGTATAGAAAAGGGAAAATACAGTGGAATAAATCTGATATAATTTTCCTATGTGCATATATGAATACACCACAGTGAATCCCACTATTGTGTACATCCACAGAATGGGATTCTAATTAGATAAGACATATTCCACACTTGTGTAATTATACCAAAATGGATTGTAGTATCTCATATAACTAAAAAGAACCAATAAAAAGAAAAAAAGAGAAATGCAAAACCCCAAAACAATGTCATTTATTCACTTAATTATTTATTTTGGAAAAATACAGCAATTTTTCAAAAAAGCATTTATGTTAACATAATGGCTTTATTATTTTAAAAATAGATTAATAAAAATATTAATTTCCCCCATCCGTTATGATTTCTAACAAGGTAAATATAAATAGATATAGCCCATATAAAACAAAATCTCTTCAATACTTTTTAAGAGAATGAAAGATTCCTGAGAACATAAAATTTGCAACCAGTGACTTAGACAACAATTTGCAATTGCAAAATTGTCAATTATTAAATTTACGTTGTTTATGAGGTTGTTTCAAGTGAGGAATTCTCCCCTCCCCACTTTTTTTTAACACAAAGCTGATTGTATTTTTTTCCATCTTTTTAAAATGATAAAAATTGTCCATATTCATTATACACAACATGCTATTTTGAAATATGCATATATTGTAGAATGGCTAAATCAAGCTAATAAACATATGCATATGCTCTTGGGTAAACTACACTGTATACTTTCTTTCCACCACTTGGAAGAAAGTATGGCAGGTCTCTTTTATCCTTCTATGCTGAGTGGAAAGAACAGAGGTACCAAGGGCACTGGTAGCACAGCCTGTGAGAGCTTAAGTGTTGGAAGCCTGGTAATCCTGGCTCAGAAGTGCAGGCTGGAGGGGGAGGTGCAGAGCCCCCAACTGTCAGAACTTCCAGAGGCAAGCTGGCAAGGTTTTCTCTCACTCCAGGAGAACACCAGGGGCTACAGTAATCTGCTGTGTTCTAGCATTCAGGATATTCACCCTAAAAGATCACATTTCTAGTCCCAAGTGGTCTGTCCAGACTGAGCCTGGTGAGTAGTTTGTTTAAATTGGCAGCTGCTCTGCAACAGTTACTATAACTGAACTTCTCAACGACCCAGGCTCACTCCAGCAGTCTGACTCCTCTTCTTTCATTCCAGGTTCTTGCCCTCAAAACCCTGTGAGACAGGCATTCCCAAGGTGTAATCATTGTGCTATATCCTAAATGGCCATAGAAATAACAAATTGAGATTACAAATCATCTTTACTCACTGCTTAAAACTATTCAAGTAGTCTGAACTCTAACTGGTGGTGGCAATACAATCTATTTGATTGTGTGTGGGTTGGGGGGAGGGTGGAGTAAGTAAAATTCAACAAACACTCATATTTTTACCATTCAGAGTAAACAATCTTTAATATTTTGCTGTCAGGATTTTCTCTATCCTTTTTTTTTCTTTTAAAGAAACAAGTCATTGAAGGAGAGCAAAAAATCACCTTTTAACCATTATCTCCAGGCTCATTCCTCCTGTCCTTGACCCCTGCAACTTCGATTATGAATGTGTTGTATTTGGTTTTAGATTTAAAACTACATCTATAAATCCACAAATGAGACAAAATACTGTAGACATGCTTTTAAAAGTGACTTAATAGAGGACACATCTTTCACAGCACTTAAGTTTTTGAGATCTATCATCTACATCATTTTCATTATCTATTTATTGATGATGAGTCACTGTCTGGTAGCAACATATCAGCTTATGAAGAATGTGGGTTTTATTTAACTATTCTTCTGTTGATGGGTATTTGTAACAACAGCTAAAGTTGATGCAAAGATGTAAAACATCTTTGTTTACATCTGCTTGAACAGTCTAGGAATTTTTGAAATTTATAACTTCAAGTGGAAGTACTGAATTGTAGGGCATGTGCTATCCAAATTTGCTCTCTCTAAAATGCCTGTCAATTTTTACTCCTACTTGTACTATTTCTGTTTATACTTCCCCAAGTCCTTGCCAATATTTGACTTTGTCATGTTCTTTAATTTTTAGCTTCAGCCTGACTGAATTTGAACATATTTACATATAATTATGGACCACTTCTCTTTTTCTGTTCTAAATCAATTGCCTATTCATATCTTTTGCTGATGTTTAAAATTTTTTTTTTTTTAGTGGATAACCATTATCAGTATTCTGCACTAAAAATATATTCTAGAAGTACATGACTTGCTTTAAAAATTTATTTTACTATTTTAGTACACAGAAGTTTCTTCATTTTAATGAAGTCAGATTGATGTTTTATTTTATGGTTTGTAGTTTTTGAACCTTCTTGAAAAAATATTTCCTATATTTTGACATACAGATTTCACTATTTTGTTTTCAATATTTAAGGTCTTGCTTTTTGTTTTCAGAACTTTGACCTATTTGGAATGTATTTTTGTGAGTAGTGTTTTCCAAATTTTTCCATAGTGCTAACCCACTATTCCAGCATCATTTGCAGAATGACATATTCTTTTCCTATTATTTTGAAATGCCACTCATGGCTTACCTGATCTAGGTATATATACTGCATATTTCTTGCTTTCCCTTGGTTTATTTTTCTGTCCCTAAACACTGTTTAATATCTCATAATATTTTTTATTGGGGTAAAATATATAAAAAAATTTCCATTTTACATTTTTAAGTATACAGTTCATTGACATTAAGCCCATTCACTAATGTAACTGTCATCACTGTCTACTGCAAGAACTTTTTCATCATCTCAAAACTCTGTGCCCTTGTGGGGAAGAGGGATGCTTTTGGGCCCCCAGCACTCTGAACACCAGAAAAGTGAAAGGGTTGTGGAACCTCTGAGCTTGGAGTTGCTGCCTGCGGAGTGTGAGTGGTGCGTGAGCCTCCCCAGTGAGATCAAGGCCCTGTGCCAGAACTGATGGGGACCTGATCAAGAGGCATACTGGCCCTGTGGCTTCCAGGTGGTGTCGGTGGAGACAGGGCCTGAGCCAGGATCCATAACCATAATAAGATGATAAAAATAACAATAATCCTCCTCGTGCAACCCGCCGCCAGCATGGCGCACTACAACTTCAAGAAGATTACGGTGGTGCCGTCTGCCAAGGACTTTATCGACCTGACATTATCGAAGACTCAACGAAAGACTCCAACAGTGATTCATAAACATTACCAAATTCATCGCATTAGACATTTTTATATGAGAAAAGTCAAATTTACTCAGCAGAATTACCATGACAGACTCTCACAGATTGTAACAGATTTTCCCAAATTGGATGATATCCATCCATTTTATGCTGATTTGATGAATATTCTGTATGACAAGGATCATTACAAGTTGGCTCTAGGACAGATTAATATTGCCAAAAATTTAGTGGACAATGTTGCTAAAGATTATGTACGGCTTATGAAGTACGGTGATTCTCTCTACCGCTGTAAGCAGCTGAAGCGTGCTGCCCTTGGGCGAATGTGCACCATTATCAAGCGGCAGAGGCAGAGTTTGGAATATCTGGAACAAGTGCGTCAGCATTTAAATTTATCCCGCTTGCCAGCCATTGACCCAAATACAAGGACTCTGCTTTTGTTTGGGTACCCAAATGTTGGGAAATCCAGCTTCATTAATAAGGTGACGAGAGCAGATGTGGATGTTCAGCCCTATGCATTTACCACCAAGTCTCTGTTTGTTGGGCACATGGATTATAAGTATCTGCGTTGGCAGGTTGTAGATACTCCAGGGATTTTGGATCATCCTTTGGAGGATCCGAACACCATCGAAATGCAGGCTATCACGGCCCTGGCGCACCTTCGAGGAGCTGCGGTTCTGTATGTGATGGACTTGCCTGAACAGTGTAGACACGGGCTGAAAGAGCAATTAGAACTTTTCCAGAATATCAGACCTCTCTTTATCAATAAGCCTCTTATAATTGTAGCAAACAAATGTGATGTGAAACGAATAGCTGAACTTTCTGAAGATGATCAGAAAATATTTGTAGACTTGCAAGCCGAAGGATTCCCTGTAATAGAGACCAGTACCCTGACTGAGGAAGGTGTTATTAAAGTTAAAACAGAGGCTCGTGACAGGCTTTTGGCACACCGAGTGGAAACAAAAATGAAAGGAAACAAAGTGAATGATGTGCTGAACAGGTTGCATTTAGCTGTGCCTAACAAGAGAGATGATAAGGAGAGGCCCCCTTTCATCCCAGAAGGAGTAGTGGCACGCAAGAGGGGAATGGAAATTGGGGAGCCCAAGAAGAAAAGGGAACGGGATCTTGAGCTGGAAATGGGAGACGATTATATTTTGGATCTTCAAAAATACTGGGATTTAATGAATTCATCTGAAAAATATGATAAGATACCAGAGATCTGGGAAGGCCATAATGTAGCTGATTATATTGATCCTGCCATCATGAAGAAATTGGAAGAGTTAGGAAAAGAAGAAGAGCTAAGAACAGCTGTGGGGGAGTATGATAGTGAATCTGAAAGTGAATCTGAGGAAATGATGGAAATCAGACAGCTAGCAAAACAAATTAGAGAAAAAAAGAAGCTGAAAATCCTACAATCAAAGGAAAAGGATACACAGGGACCCAGGATGCCTCAAACTGCTAAGAAGGTTCAGGGGACAGTTTTGGAAAATGAGATGCGTAGTCTTGGTGTTGACATGAATGATAAAGACAATGCCCACTATGCAGTCCAGGCAAGAAAATCTCGGAGTGTCACTAGGAAGAGAAAGCGGGAAGAATCTGTTCCTCTCTCTTCTGTAGCCTGGAGTAGGAGCTGCTCTCGACCTCCACGTGATGTTTCTGGTCTTCGGGATGTCAAGATGGTGAAGAAAACCAAGACTATGATGAAGAATGCTCAGAAGAAGATGAATCGCTTGGGGAAGAAAGGGGAGGCAGATAGACATGTGTTTGATATAAAGCCCAAGCACTTACTCTCTGGAAAGAGGAAAGCTGGTAAAAAGGACAGGAGATAGCATCCTTTTTAGTTGACATGGTTGCCTAGAGTGTTACTGTTTGATTCTTGGTTTGGTTTCATGAAATTGGAATCATGATCTAGTAACTGAAAAGACAGTGGAAGTAACTAAAGTTCTTTCTTTCTTTCCTGAAAACTGGATAACCATATATAGGTGTGGGGAATTTTAATCACTTCATGATACTATAATTTTGAGTAGATGGTATTTCTGCATTTAACGGAGTGTTTGCTTCAGAGTCACCATATAAGCTTCAGATGTCAAGTTTTCAACAACAAAATCACAAAGAAACAAAGTATGGCCTAATAAAGTAAAAACTTGATAAAGCCATCCCTTGTAGCTGACTTAATAGATAATAGACTTTCAACAAACTGCTAGGGAAGATTTGCAGAAGTAGAAGTATTGGTGTTACTTGGTTGTTTTGATGGAGAAAACACTTTTGCAAGAGGGAGAGTTGGATCATCACACCTGAAGAGCCCTTTTTGTGAAGAAGCACTCTGCTTGTTGGGCGTAGACAGAGGCTACCAGCCCTCCCCTGCAGGATAGGAGGCATATCCACTTATGAGTGTGTTAGAACCCTATGTTTAAAATTCTCTCTTAAATTATTTTATAGTCTTTTTGTACAATATATCATTGTAATCTGTCTTCAACTATTTTATCCAAAATAAACCTTCAGAAGAAAAAAAATAACAATAATCCATAATAAGATGAAGCATCTTATTTTATGACTGAAGTTCCAAGTAAATGGCTCAACTCCTCCCTGGCATCCGCTTCATTGTCTCCTCCAGGGATCTGGGCTACAGAATCTTCATTTTCATTTTGATTGTTTTCCCCCCCAGTGTATGAAAGTTTTCACTTATCTTGAAAGTGAGTCAGCATAGTTAAGGGTGCTGCTAGGGATGAGGCAGATTCAGTGGCCCAACCAAGAGCATCATGCAGTTCCCTTCGCCATGGCTGGCCCCCATTTGAGAAGAACTATCAGCAGTTGCTTGGTGCCTTGGATTAATCCCCCTTGTGTGCTGATGTTGTTGGGATGTACCTGAGCAGCATAATAGGGGAACTGCCTGTTGATTAGGTGTTATCTGATGTTTGAGATGCTGGCCAGGCCCTTAACCACCCTGTTTGTATTGGGGTATTTCTACAATATCCATAGTTGTGGATTTTATGTGGTAACTCAGATCATTAATCCACTGGTGCAGACCACCAGGCTCCTCACCTGCCTCAGCAGCAGGTCTGGAAAAGGAAGGTGAGCTCATGGAATGCCACACCTAGGCGGGCAATATTCTGGACTCCTTGATTGCTGGCTACTGGGTGTTCCTGTGCTGGGACCTGTCTTTCATTGTGCCTGGGGCCATCATGGCAGCCATGGGAATAGTGTGCTTTCTATTTCTCATCCAACATCTGAAAGACATCAGATGCTCCTCCTCCCTGTCTACACTTTCAAAAGGCTATGAGAATCTAACAAACAGATGTGGACTCTAGAAGCCAACCTTACACAGTGAAAGGAACAGGCTCCTGGACCCAGAGATGCAGTGCTTACTACTGTCCTAGGGGAAGAGTCCCATATGCCCAAGTTATGTGGTTGTTTTCCCTGGTGACAGCAGCAACTTCCTGGCCCTCATCAGCTTCACTTGGGCCTTTGAGAATCCCTGGTGTGGGAGTTCTCTCTGTGCTGTTTGCTGAGCAGGTCAGCTTCACTTTCCTCTTTTGGCTTCCGTCGTACATCACCAGCGTAGATCACCTTAATGTCAAAAAAGCAGGAGAGCTCTCCATTTTGTTCAGTGTGGCCAGGATCTTCACTCCATCATCAGCAAGATGGGCCTAGAAGACACTGTAGCCATTCTGGTGTTTAGCAGGGGCCTGGGCAGGGGGCTGAAGGTACTAATCACCACCATCCTCTCTGCCAACCTGGGGACTCATAAGCGTCTGAAAGGGAACTCTCATGCAATCTCTGGGTCTGTAGGAGCTGCCCAGAGCCCTCTGCTGGTAGGAGTCATCTCTCTCTCTGAGAGGAGCAACCTGTTGTATGTACTGAAGTTTGCATATGCCTGTGCCTTGCTGTTCCTAATCTGCTTCATATATAAGAAGGTGAGCTGTCCATGGCTGGTGGTGTGGGACCAAGCTCTTCTGTTCTGTGCAGGAAGCAGCTGAGCCCATCCTTCACAAACTGTCTATTTAAACAGATATGGAACTCAGGATAGCAGTGGCAGGTCCAGGGAACTGCTGAGTGCCTTAACTGAGCCAATGGACAGATGGTCTAGCCTGCCCAAGCTTGCAGATGTGAGTCCATCCAGGTTCTCAAATATGGTGTGTGACAGCCACTTAGGATGAGCCTGCTTCTCTAGATTTTTACTTCTGAATAAATCTTGGCTTGATGGTAGATACTATCTTGACTATTCAAGGATTTTAAAAGTGTTTAAAACATAGCATTTAAAGTCATTTCAGTAGAAAGATTGGTCCTAATGCTCACTCATGATCTAAAGTTTAGTTTTTGTATTTAAAAAAAATCAGTTTTCTACCAGACTCATTTCATTCATCTCTTGGTAAGATATTTGATTTCTTACCTGTAGCTTGAAAGTTTGTGGTACAGTCTCAGTGTGGCTTTTATATTCACTCTCCCTCCAATTTCTGTAAGAACTTCAATGGTTTCCTGATTAAGAATTTTTTTCATTATTAAAATTTAATAACTTTACTAACAAGGGCCTTAGCATTGATTGTTTTAAATCCCGTTTTCCTGAGTTACATTGTTCTCATAAAAACGTCTTCCTTTAATGAAAAATTTATTCTACCATGTCTTTGAATTTTTTGTTTGTTTCTTCTTCAAGGACAACAAACATGCACCGATTGGATATCCTTTGTCCTACACCTATAATTGTTCTCCAATCTTCTTTGCTTTTTTCATATTATCTTACTTAGTTTTCTATAGTCTATGCAACACATTCCTCTTTTTATCTGTCTACTATTTGAGTTGCATCTTATGTGGTTTTCCTTTTCTTGAAGTATTTGTATTGTTCATTTCTTTTCATAGCTCTTTCAGATCATTTAAAAAGCCTTTCTCCAGTTTTATTATCAACTTAAAAAATGAGTCTTTCTTGAGCTCTCATTTAATAATGCCAACAATGCCTATATTTAATTTCTTTTAAAGGAAATGTCTTATTTCCATTATTTTTTAGCTGCTTTGTAATTTGTTTTGAAGTGTGAAAGCAATTTCCTTTGTCCTTTGTCTCTCATATTTTGGGCAAAGAGCTGTATTACTTTTTCATAGATCCTGTGCTTAAACATTACAGAACTGAAGGCATGAGTGTATCTGCCTTGGCATTTCTGCATTATGTCCCTGTTTCTTCTTGCTGCAGGATCTACTCATTTTTCCTTGGGTAATCAGAAGGTGGAGAAAAGGATGGGCTGCCAACAATCTCTGCAAAGCTCAGAAGTGTTAAAAGTCCGCACCATTTACATCAATGACCCCCTTAAGAACACTTTCTGCACAAATAGCATCAGGTGAGAAGAGTCTATGTGCTTTGGAGGGGAGAAGGGTGGAAGAAAATGTGAGTTTCCTTCCAAAATGCAATACTTTGTATAAATCAAATCATGTGATTCTTTGTATCTGGTTACAGTGTTTTTTTCCCCAAACCTTGAAAAAACTAAATTCTCACGTTCACTTTGAAACAAGGATTGGCTCTGGGCTCCCCTTATAGGCCCCTCACCTTCCCTGTTCTGAACAGCCTGTGCTAGCACTGTTCTGGTTCACAGCTCTTACCATGCAGATCACTGACAGCTGATAGTGCTCTTTAGCAATAGTTTTAAATGTGAGGCAAAGTGCTATCAAAAGAACCCTCCTAGATCCGCTGGACTCCCCACCAATACCTTATACTTTTAATTGAGAATCACCAGGCTTCTATTTCATGAGGCATTTGTTGAGTTTCATATTTACTTCAGAGGCAGAATTAGATGAAAACTTGAAAGGAAACTACTTTTTTTTTTGTTTGTTTCTTTTTAAGGATTGAATTCAGGGCCTCACACATGCTAGGCAAATGCTCTATCACTGAGCTCCTTCTTAAGCCAATTGAAACCACTTTTCGAGTGATTTTCCCCTCTCTTTTTTTAACCAGGAACTAAGGCCAGGTGTTGGATATACTAACTTAATAATCTTTAAGGTTTTCGGTTATGAACTAATCATATAGCTTAAAAATCTGTCGTTGATATGGCAAGAAAAGGGATATATCCCTGGGGGCCCCAAATGAGGGCACATCAGGGATACTAAGAGGTAGGGAACACTGAGGTGCATTTTGCTTAGGAGACTCTACCTAGTTCTATTGACCTGGTGTTTCAGTTGTAACACTCAGTTGTGGAAGAGGAATGATCTGAGTTCATACATGGTGGACTAAAGAATTAAAGACCCTGTCTTTGTAAAATCAGGACATCAGAGGGCTACACCCTAAATGAAGAGAGAATAAAAATTAAAATCTGTCTTGCAAGAAGAGACACAGTGAGAAAACATGCTCCTTTAAAATTGGCCCAGTTTAGGAAAAAAAAAAAATTCTTTTAAGAATTATTAGCACTCATTGACCACCTTCTCATGGTTTTGATCCCTAAGTTGGTATTTGTGCAATCCAGAAAAACTCTAACTTACAATATATTTTAAAATGGTGTCATGTTGCTAGTATCCCAAGGAATAAGGAGGAATATTCATTGGTATGGGCCTGAAAAATTTCCCAGAAATCAAGTTTGATCAAATATGAGCTAAAAAGCTACCAACGCATGAAAAAGCAAGGTCTCACTAGTGAGAGGAAACATAAAGAATGAAACAAATAAAAACAAGCAGACACTATAAAGACTTCAAGTAGTAGAAGTATCGTGTACAGACTATAAAATTAGAATGTTTTCTACTAAACACAATAGCATAATATGATTAAAGGAATAAAGAGAATATTGAAAGTATAAAGACTACTTTAAAAAAGACCTGAGTAGTTCTAGAAAAGAAACAAATAGAACCTAGAAATAAA